CATTACGTTCCTAGCTGTTGCATCACTTTTTTTCTCAAATGTTCATTTTATGGCATAATAAATAATACAAACTATGCATATTTCTTGGATTCATGCAGTATGTTTGAAAAGAACTGTTGCCTCTATTTAAATATAGATACTACTTTCACTTATTGATGTTCCTATCAATAAAGACCTCATATTGCAAAACATATGACACGATAATTCAAGAATTCGTTTTCTTTCTGACAGCCTGTTAAGTATCCTGTTGCTTCATTGGGTGCTTCCAGGGGCCTGATTTTGGGTCTCAACATTTTAAAAAGCACATTCTGAAGATTAACAAAAAACAGTGTGAAAAAGTGAAATGGGCTTTTCTGGGGGCGTGCACACCATTTTGTTTGAGATGATTTTGCCAATACTAGCAGCACTGCTCAAGAGTTTTCTTTGGATCTCTATGAGACTATCCATTTTATCCTTCATTATTGGTCTAGAGGGTAGAATAAGCTCGAGATTTAGATTGAAATCTCAAATATGTATGCAAATGTTCACACCTTTCAATAGTATTGCAGTATTCTTTCATGAACTGAGAAATATTCCTTGTTATCTAAATGTTGTTGTAAATATTGGATTGATCTTGTTTCATCATGGACACAAAAAAAGGGATTTCAAAACTTGGCGTAAAATATTTTAAAAATGCATGAGGTAAAATAACTATACCCACTGTGTAATGACCTGATAGATACTGGTTTCTTTGTTACCCACAGTTTCAACTGAAAGTGAAATAATTATGGACAGTAATATTTACCTGGTAGCTCTGAACTCCCGCAGTCCCAGAACTGAATCTTTGCCATTTTTCAGTGACATAGGTTGTAGTTTGATGTGGCTATTCACATTTTTGCGTTTCTATGGATTTTAGAGTCTGCCACAGAGTTTGATGTTGTCTGAACATCGTAGTATAGAAATGCTTCTTACACTAGCTTTAAACTTTGGAAGGATCTGCATTTGTATACACGAGCAGCTTTATCCCATAAATAAGTAGATGCAGAAGTTAAGTAGCGGTGATTACTGCCTGTGCTGTACCACTCTTCCTCAATTGTATTTCTTCCTCTTCTGAATAGAGTATTTATTTTGTGATGAGCTTTGGTGGGCTACACTTGCATTCTTCTGCGTATCTATGCTCAATGCATTGGTTCTGTCATTATACTGCAGATTGAAGTTCAGCAGCAGAGCCGGAGGTTGATGTTCCACTACTGGCTATCAGTGGAAGAAAGTCTTTGTTACCTCTCCCCAACGCTACTGCAGCTCACTGTTGCCTCAGTAAAACTCTGGGAACTACTATTTGAATTCCAGAATTATTTTCCAGGCATCTTGTTACATTATTGGTGTTATTCATTCTTAAAGAGTTTATAATTGCTTGTTCCTCTATAGCTGTGCCATAGTGGCATTCCAGTTCCCTTCCTTACAGTGGGTTGTCAGAGAGAGACATTTCTCTTCCAAGTCTTTGGACTTTTATCTCTGAAAATCTTATGTTTGTAATGGTGTTAACAAGCATCAGATCCACAAAACACATCCCGTTGGAAAGAAAGAGAAGAATACATATGCTTATATATGGTTTGCTAAGAGATCAACCTCATTCCTTATAAGCAAGAAAGTGTGTGTATTAGAGTGGAGCCCCGTATAAAATTCTTTTGCTGGCAGATTCAAACTCTTGTGGTTATGACATAAATGCACGTTTCAAGAGATGGACAGGAACAGATAATAACAAAGAACAAACCCTGCAGAACAAATCTGCAGCCTTCATCCCTTCCATTGATTTGTTTGCTCTTTCATTCATACATATTGAGCACTTTTCCCTCTTCTAAGTAATGCAACTGTCCCTAACTCATGCCAATAAATATTTTACATTGGACTGTCACTGCATAGATACAGCATGTGAAATTAAGTTTTTTAAATTAATCCGATTACTTTTTGCTCGTGCAGGCCTTAAATTATGGAAACTTTACAATATGTATGATAGTATATTAGACAGGATATTTAAATAAGAACAGGAAATGAAAAATATGTACAAAATGAAACATTAACATTGGCATTTGCCTTTATTTTAATTGTACTACCTAAAGATGATATTTACACATGATTATGCATTTAATTTTCTAGTTTGATTAAAAACAATTGCAAGTGCTTATTCATAGTTTAAGTGGTTCCAATTGGCTCTTGAAGTCTTTCACTTCAGTGAAGCAAATGGGATGTGGTAGACTTGAGTTCCAATCTTCATTGCTCATTTCACTTTGACCGATGAGTTTTCTGCAAGCCCAGGTTAACAAGGCTCAGAGATATTAGTTTACAGACTAGGGCTATATCATTTTAAAAATTATCCTTTTAGAATTGATAGCTTGTTGATACTACACAGTGTTACCATTATTGAAGCAGTCTCTAGAATTGTAAGGCTTAATTTATTAGCCTTCATTCAAAATGTTTGAGAAATGAATTAGTGAATGCTGTTCAGAAAGGATTTTAGATACCATTCAGCTCTACTAAAACTGAAGCAGCTTCCAAGTCTGTTTTTTTCAGTTGCTCATAACTTTTCTTTTTAGTGATCCCAACAGCCAAGGGGGGATGTGGAGGAGATATGATCTTGCCAAATTTCTTTTGGCTGTTTTAAATGTAATTTAGCTCAAAACGTGTTTGGAATGGCATTACAAATTAAAAAAAAAAAAAAAAAAAAAGACAAAGCATAGTATCTGCACTAATACAATGTAAGAAATGTTGAAATTACTTTCTTACTGTGTAGCAATCACTCCCAGCAGTTGGTGAAAAAAAATAACCTGAAGAGCTTCTTTCTTCTCTGTTCTTTCTATTCACAGTTACACTGGTTGAAACCTTTAGCTAGCTCTGCTGACATACCGGCATTTTCAAAGACGTTGTGGGAATGTCATCCACTTGCAGAACAATGTGACTAGCTTCAGAGGCTGACCTGTTGTGTGCGCAGGGGAATGTGTCACTCTTGAAGCATCGCTACCTTAGGGAGGCAGCTTGGCAGTAGTTATAATGGCCAACGATGCTACAAAATTTACAATGGCAAACAAAGAATATTATACAGGATAGAAACAGGAGGGTTATTTAGATAGGCATAATATACTGTAGTTACTGAAGTATAAATGACTGTGAAAGGAAGGGCCAGATTTTTCTCAAGCTGTGTCTGCTATATACCATACGTTGTATTTAAAGGAGACAGAATCGTGGTAAACAATCACAGGCAGCTCACTGCAGAAGGTGAGGATGTGTGGGAGACAGGGAGCCAGTGAAATGCCCAGATAGTCTTTCTGACTTGGAGAATGGGGAACGTGGCAGGAAGGAAGGAAGCTGCACCACACCGTTGGAGTTACTTGCTGCTATTGTGGTCACTTGGGAATACTGGCAGTTGGCAGAAGCTGAAAGCAGCCCTAACCCCTGCAAGCTAACACTACTTTACTCGTCTTTGTCCTTATCTGGAGTACCTTTGCTTTTCAAAGTAGTTAATAATTTAGGCCCAGAAGTAAACACCTGGGTTTTTTTTTTAGAAAACGATCCTAGCTGAAAGGTGGTGTATCCACAAACACAGATCTTCTGGTCTCAGTGTGGGTTGTAAGTTCACTCCTGTCTCAGAGGAACAGGACCATAATTTCCTGGCTTGCCAAGTCCATTTCCCAACTATTCCCGGCTACTGTGACATATAATTCCATTCTGAAACTGAACAAGTTTTATCTAAAACAACGTTTAAAAAAAGTCAACCTCACAACTCAGCTTAAAAGTCTGAAAACTATCTAACTCGAGCTTGTGTATATTTAGGGCAGTCTGCAAACCCAGAGTTTATTGGTATTTAGTATAACCCACTCTGTGACCCTCCTTAGCGAAAGAAATCTGGTAAGATCTTACCCTGGAGTCACAATAGTAGTTTCCCTCTTTCTGGTTTCATTTGGTCTCCCAGGGAGAAGTAATAGTCTCCCATGTGACAGTGGGAGAGGGAGATGTTCACCTTGAGGACATGCACTGAAAATAAATCTGAAACACATTTCCTTGCACATAACCCAGCTCTTTACGTTGAAATTACCCTTTGGATTTTAGAGTGGCTGCAGAAACCTGTGAGCAAGTCGTGGGCTACTAAGACCATCAAATGGCTTTTCCTGTTCTTGTGATTCGTTTCAGTAGAAGGTGCAGGAAATATAGATTTAATTCTTTTATTCAAACTCAGTAGATGGTTTGGGACAATTAATTTCCAATTGTTTCCCAGTAGAGCAGATTTACTTGTATATTAATGAGGCACAGGTGTTAGGCCCCTGGTGCCTGCATGCCTGGGAGGCATATTTAGGTTGTTTATCTAGTCAGCCATAGGTACTGCAAGGTACTCAAGCTTGCCTTTAACAGTTTATACAGTGAGGCTTTTTAATTTTTTGATGTTTTTTTAAATTTGCTAGCACCTGTTAAAATTTTAAAACTGATCATGTAGAAAGAAGTAGGAGTGATTTCAATAGTAAATAGCACTAAATGTTAAAGAAAGTCATCTTCTATTATGCTTAACTGCCCAGCTTGACATTAAGAAGAAAAGAAGGTTCATTTAAGCAAATATGTCATGTGAGGAGCTAATACAGTCAACAGTATACTTTTCTGTTGCATATTTTTGGAATAGGTACTTCTTTGTCTGCAGCTGAAACATGAATGTGCTTATATTAATATTCATTTTTCTTGTTTATTCACTGAACTGCAGTACCAACATTTTAGAGGAAATGGAATAGCCTCCATAGACATTATGAATTTCAGTAGCTGGCATAATTATAGCGATCTACATATTCATTAAATCCAAAGAAGAAATGTGTCCAAAAAGACAGCCATGCGTTTAGAAATGGTACACAACTAAATATATACATTAAAAAAAGTTCCTTTCCTCTGCTTATCCAAAATTGGGTAGTGTCATATAGTCCTTAAATCAGCTAAGACTTTTTTGTTGTTGCTTAAATGTTCATTCCTTTTGCTTTTGCACACAGTAAAGAATGGGAAGAACTATTTGTAAACAACAATTACTTGGCAACTATACGGCTGAAGGGGATTAATGGGCAGCTGAGAAGCAGCAGGTTCCGTAGTGTTTGCTGGAAGGTAAGAAGAGAAAATATTTATTTACAGTTTGTGGTTGCAATATATCAACACATTACCTGATGCGCTGGAAGATTATTGATGCAAAGAATCATGAATTTTCCAAGAGACTTCATCCCAATGTTTTCCTACTCATTTCTATAATTCATAGGACATTTGCTAATCATACTGACTTGCCTTAAAGCTGAATTGCGGGTGATAGCAAAAGATTCCTAGGAAAGAATCTCTTTGTGCTGGGTGATGTGTTCAGAATTAAGTGCCGCACAGCCATCTCTCTTCTCGGTCTCTGTGCAGTAAAGTCGTACACTGGAAATAAAAAGGAAGTTTGTCTCACAATTTATGTTTTGTGGAACCTGGGACTCCTTTAAAATCAGTCTGATGCTTCTGCTAGCAGGTTTTCCCAGTGAATTGAGAAAATGAGGACGAATACATCTTGTAATGACGGGATAGAGAGCGAAGGCAGGTCTTCCCGTCTTAAAACACGACAGGTCCTCAGAGGTCTCTTACTGTATTTTTTCAAAGTTGAAGGAAGAGAGAAATAAAGCAAATTAGTACTGAGATGCCATACGAAGTCCAAAAGAATTCTGTTGCCCTGGCATCAGGTCTTCTGTTCTGCACTAACTTAGATAGTAGAGAACGTTTTCCCTAAAAGAGATGCTGTATGTTAACACTGATAATTTAAGTTTCCTCACATGGAATTTCTCAATCTTCACTTTGGCACAAAGAGCTATAAAAAGGAAATGAAAATACTCTTTGTATGTGAATGAAAGAAATTTGAAATTTGAAATGTATGTAGCATCGAACAGATTTAAAGTTAATGAAAATACTTTCTTCAGGAGGCCAGGTGAATGAATATATGTCACAGGAATTGTTTTGCCAGTCCGCTTCTTCTTGAGCCTCTAAATTAGGAGGCCATAACTCAAAACCCTGAACTAACAGAAGCATCAAGTCCCTCACTGTCCACTAATTAAATCAAGCAGTGGTTTTATGTTAGAAATAAGGCTGGGTTTATTTTCACGTCCCAATATGGGTTAAGGCTCTGTTGTAGACTGCCTGTTTTAAAAATATTATCAAGATTTTTGTTAAGTTCTGAAATACGTAAGTATTTTTAATAATTTGGGAATGTTTTTTCTTTGTCAGTGTTTACTGTTTCATAACACTTTATAGTGTGTAAATAAAAACATTTAAAAAGCAAGAAAATACTCTGCTTTTTTCCTTATTTTATATGTATTTTCCAATAGATATTTCTTTCTAACCCTTTTTAAACAGAAATGTGAAAGAACTGAGTGGTAGGCATTCTCAAGGACTTTCTGCAAAATCAACTCTTTTAACTGTTTTGTAGAATTCTAGAACATGTTACTTCTCTATAGACTAAGATTTTCCCTTTCCACAATCCTTAGCTAGAGCATATCTCTGAGTGTTTAGTTTCTGCTCTGCATTCATCTTTTCTTTTAAGCATGTTGCATTAGCTCAGCTGTGTTATGTACATAGCTTGAAGTTTTGTATATTTATTTTCATGTCTTCTTTGCATTTTGTTTCTGCCCTGGAAGTCTCAATGAACTTTACTGAAGTTGTGACAGTTTACAAAGCTTGAGTTTGTGGCTTCAGGTTTTTTAAATCTTTTATTTCCTACCCTAGAACTGTTATTGTTTCTAGCTACTTATTTATTGACTGGAAGGTACTGAAGCCAGCAGTATTTTATAGTTCTTTGCTTTCTTCTCCTTATGTGTAGAGTACTTACTCCTCCTTTCTGAGGTGGTTTATGCTGCCTGGTAGGATTTATGTGAAAAGCTATTAAATTGATTAAACTTAATGGATTTATTTTCTTTTGTTGATAGTTATTTCTGGAGGTTCTACCCCAAGACAGAAGTCAATGGATTAAAACCACTTCAGACTTAAGAACTTCTTACAATAAGATCAAAGAAATTGTAAGTTGGTACAAAAGAGGTTCTCTACTCTCATGCATTGACATAGATATTAATACTTACAATAGAACAGAAGAGGATTTGATTTTTTTTCTGTTTTTACCCAGCACATTACAAATCCTCGGAAGGCAGGACAGCAAGATCTGATAATCAACAACCCGCTGTCTCAGGACGAGGGGGTAAGTTGACCCTTGGTTCTATCAACATATGTGCTACTAAAATTCTCATCATCATCCAACTGACGAGAATGAGTTCTTGCTGAAGAAGGAAAAATGGCAGGTGCTAAAATCTCCCTCCTAAATTTCAAAACTGATTTGTATTAATAGTGGTTCACAGGCTCTGCTGAACAACCAGAAATGCTCATTCCCAGGTTAATATTCTGATTTTTCAGGGCTTATCACAGGAAAGGCTGTGATGAACAAAAAATAGGTGCTGGACTATAAGTTCAGTTTCACACCATATCCTTTCTTTGACTGATACACTTTTTTTATTGCTGTGTTTTCGTTTTATACACAAAATGGCTCTAATTGAAGGAGTGTTTAAACAGTCAATATGAAGGGAATGCTGTTAACAGCAAATACTGAAGAGCCTTCCTCTGGAAGACTGTTCAGCCTTGGAAGTTTTTCTCCAGCAAAAATAGAACTGTTGAATGTCTGAGTTGTATACGTGTTGAGTTAATGTCTCAAGCACCAGGCTGCAAGGTACGCATTTCTTCCAAGGTTTTTAATTCTTTTTCTTTACACAGTTAAAAGAAACAAAAGTTGTTTTTTTTTCTAATCAGAAAGCAGCCAGCTGCAAAATGACAGATCCAGATTTTAAAGAAATGCTCAAAATGTGGTAAAAGTATTTGGCCTGACTGTCATTAAGTGCAGAGCATCCAGCTATCACTGAAATTAATGGGACCTCCTAGTAGCTTGGTATTTTCATAGTCATGACACTTTGATGGGGGTTTACATGTAGATTTGGGAGCTTAATTTCAGGCATTATTTTTTTTTTTTTACGCTGCATTTTATTATACCTGAAAAGCTCTTAGGTATTTTATAGCACATATCTTTAAGCTTCTCCATTAATTATGTTACCATTTCTGAAAAATCTTTTTTATCACATTTTCAAAATAACTTAATACCATGAAAATAATTTGTTTGGCTGCATTGAAGAGATTTACACCTGGAAAGACTTTCACAGATATATATGGTTGAACTGCTTGGGTTTTCATTTTGTTCATAAAAATGGAAGCCCATATTTTGTTGTATTTATCGTGGTACTCTGCTTCATATTTAACACAGAAGGAAAGATAGGTTTGCTTGTGGAAATGTGGAAGTAGTGATCATAGGCACATTGGTGGCTCTACAGACGGTATGGCTGTGCATGCCATCAAACCATTCTTGCACCCAGCTGGGCAGAAAGCTTTGTCAAATGTAAAATATTTGAAGTGTTTCTGCAGTGATTTGTGACTATGCGCAGTGGCACAACCTTCTTTCTGCCTGTGATGTCTTTAGGAGATGGGAGACAAAGGTTAATGTGGGAGAGTATGTGGCTGGGCATTAGTCTGTAAAACAAAGCCATGGGCCACACCAGGCGTAGGGATGAAGACCAAAGTGCTTCTGAGCCTCTGCAGTGACTTCATGTTTTACCCTTTCAGTGTCTTGGGTTTTGCTTCCTTTTCACAATGCAGATTCTGTTTCCTCCATCCTTTGCTCTGATGGACCAGGGTTGGAGCAGGGGCAGGGGAGTTTCAAAATGTCATGCAGCTGCATGAAAAGAGCTGCGAGTTAAAAAGATAGTAGTTTTACATAAGACTTGAAAAGAGCTGCGAGTTAAAAAGATAGTTTTACATAAGACTGTCAAGGATATAGATACTTTTGAAGTTTGGGGTGGGTTTTTTTTCATAGTTCATGTTACAAACTATGCTAATTAACGTTTTCTTTTTTTGTTATTTTACCTTCCTTCTGCTAGATAACACTAATTTACTTTCTCTTTCCTTTCTGTGGAGCGTAAGCCACCATGGCGATGAATTATTTACAGGGGAGCAAAAAATTCTGGAAGTATTGTAGCCACTCTCTTTGTACGGTATTTCATTCACTGGTGCTGCTGCTATCTGAAAACTAACCTGCATGAAAAGACTGCTATAGATTTTGTTCTTTCTGTATTTTGATCAATATGGTCAAGCTACCATCCCTTTACAATAAAGAATGGGCTTTACAATACTTTTTCTGGAGCATACAAACAACAACATTTGCTGACTTCTTTCAGGTTAGCTTTTTTACAAAATATTGGTAAACAAGGCATGGAAACCAAAGAAAGAGAATGGAAATGGTCATAAGCACGGATATAGAAGAAGCTAAACCTACTTCAAACTCTTTTATTTAATATTTTTTTTATGTTGACAGTGAGCTTTAAATACACTGATTTTCCCTATTAGAACTTTTATTAGAATGGCCAGTCTTGTTCTGCACTGTATATGTATACCATTAGAATGATGTTATTTTCATAATAAGTATTTGATCATCATACATTTCTTATTCGATTTTGCCTCCACTAAGAGAAACTAGCTTACTTCCAAACAATTTCTTAGTATGGAAATTATAGCAGCTTCCAATCAGAGTCCGTACATTCATAGGAGAAATGTAGTAGAGTACAGTGACATAGACTTTTTTTCCATGAGTGAACTGCTGATTTTTTTTCAGTTGAGCTGCTTGTTCTAATAGGTTTGAATTTACTCTGCCTTCCTAAATATTCTTCATAACCCCCTTACAAGTAACTCACAGCCAGCCAGTGAGTGAATGGAGTGAGCCTAGAACAAGGATGCAGGAACTTTCATGATGAATATTTTCGTCTCTGATCTAAACTGACTTTTCTCAGATACGTTTGGCTGGTCACCAACATTCTTTTTCACCCATAAAATATTGATATACCTGTCTACCAGGAATGTTGAGGATTAATTAGTTAATATTTATACAGTACTTTGCTGATGTAGTGTATAAGCCTTAGAGTATTAGTAGAAGTCTCTGTTTCATACAATTCTTTTTCCTTATTTCAGAGTCTTTGGAATAAATTTTTTCAGGATAAAGAGCTTCGAGCAATGATTGAACAAGATGTGACAAGAACGTATGTAGATCTTTAAAGAAATTTCTATATATAATTTTAGATTCTGCGTTTTTATGTGGCATACATTATATTGTTTTCTTGACTTCGGTTAGTGTAAATGTCAGGAATGTTGAACATGAATGTGTAGAAACATACATTAAATGTATAAAAATACAGCTTTCTTGGAGTGAAAAATGAGAAAATCAAGTTAAACATTAAACCCTGGGGATTTATTGGTATCATTGAAGAAAAGCTCTTCTAAATTAGGATATTAGGAAACGTATTACTATGTGAAATTTAAAGCAGAGTTTTCCATATGAAGCAAAGAGAAGGTAAGAGAAACTGAAAGGTCTTGTAACTAAATTATGATCATAATAAAAGATTGAACAGATGACTTTCTTTAATTCTGAGCACTTATTCAATCAATAATTTAAAAAGCAGTTTGTAATTAGTAAGGGAAATGTCACTTATCTAGAGAAGTTAAGCATTTCTATTTTTATTTATCACTTTTCGAGTGTTATTTGTCACATAAGCCTTTTAAAATTTGTCCTAATATTACTGTGATTATGTTTTCAGCTTCTTGGCCCTTAGGTCATTCCTGTTTAGGAACTTGTTCAAGTTAGAACACTCAGTTCCTGAAAACATTTCTTTTCAGAGTGGAAGCATTGACTGATGTGTAAACCTAATTAAATTCGATTACTGGTTTGCTACCATGTGAAATTTTACTGTATTGCAAATATTTTTCCTTGTAACTTGAAAAAAGTGGTGATAGTCATAGATTTTACAAATCCCAAGCTCACACATTTTCATTTACAGAAACAAAGTCATGCAGAAGAAATCATTGCTCTCTGGTTTTGGAATATTTTATATGTCCGTCCCTAGACCCATTCTTGAATGCTTTTTGCCATGAGATGTATAATTAAAATCTGAGTATGCTTTCATGTGCATTCTCACAGATGGTATTTTTTGTTTGTTAAAGGAAACAGTTCAGGATGTTCTAAGATTAAAATACATGCGTATCTAAACTATAATTGGAGAATGAAAAGTTGTATGGAGGTTATGATGGATGTAAGACTGTTATTTAAAAATACATATATATATATATACATATATACACACACAATGTCCAGGCTCTCACTCTGGCAAATAGCAGAGTGACTAATATTCACTAATATCAGTAGTAGTGACTAAAGAAATTTCCATTTATGTATTTGTACAAAATAATGTCTACTTGAAACAGCAGTAGCATACATTGTGTGTCATCAATATCAAAAGAAGTCAGTGAAGAAGCAAAATTTGTCAAAGTAATATGAATTTATTTGATAAACTACATGCATTTATATATACACTTCTTGTTTGCCTAATCATAAAACATAGTGTGCATTTTATGTATACATAGGGATCTGTTTGTAAACCATTATTAACGTAAGAAGCAGTAAGTTCTACATTCCTTGGCTTTGGAATGCAAGTACCCTCTCTTTAATGTTGTCCTTTTCATTTCCATTCTTTAAATAAATTCCTGGAGTTACAATTTAAAGATTTGTCATTAACTTACAATGCCTTTTACTAAAGGTTAAAATAATTGAGTATTATATTCAGTTATCATAATCATTACTTTCTAGCTTCTGTTTCTCATTTAACAAATATTTTTACATTCTTTGTAAAGAGTTCAGTGTTCATCATCCAAAAGCATCAAGTAAATAATGCTGTAGAGAGGGATGCGAACTGCACGCAGAGTAGGAAACCAGTCCAATCTACCAAAACAGTAAAAAATTTACTCTATAATGGTTTTATTAGAATTCTCTGAAGTGTAGTAATAATAAATGGGAAAAGTGTGTAGAAACATGCGTTTTAAATTGGTATTGGTTTAAATTGTTTTAAATTTCAGAATACTGTTACATAAAGGGAACTGTGATAAAGTTTGTTCATGTGTGTGTGTTCATATGCATTTTGTGAATTCTTACCTCACCTAATAATTAGATTTGTAAAACAACAGTGCTCACAACCAGACTAATCATCCTTTAGACTCTATGTAGCTGAAGAATTCTAGGGACACAAATCATCTCTTCCTAAAGTAAATGTCTAGTATAGGTCTGATGCATCACACTGTAGAGAAATATGTTTTTCTTCAGTAATTATAACAGGCTTCTAGCTCACCTGTACCTAACTAAACTGTAGTCACCTTAAGTCAGGTGAGAGTAATCCAAGCCAAATGTCTAAATATAATTTGTTGCATAATAAGAACTTCCAATATTTACAAGGGAAGTGGGTAAGGATTTTGTTAAATTAGTCCTCACTCATTAGTGATCAACATTTCTAATTAATCACCTGACTTATTTTTTATGGTAGTCGAGAGGTTCAGAATGGAATTTCCTTCAGCTGTCGGATAATGTGTACTTTTGAGCTGGAATGAAACACCATCTCTTTCTATCTCAAGCAAGAAGCTTCTAAAAATGAGGGTGGGAAGGAGGGTAAGGAGGTTTACTATACTGCAAGTAAAAGCCTTACTTTAGATTTAGATAGCAGTGCCAACTAAGTTATGACTATACTATTGCATTCTATTATTCTACTAAGAAAGGAAGGTGTGTACGAACGAGCACCATAGTAACTCCTAACAGACTTAAGAATGCAATGATTAATTACTGTCATTCAAAAGATGTACCAAGGAACGCTGGTGATTTATTTTGTGATGATTAAGAAGGTAAGCGATAAAGGAGAGTTTTTAAAGATATTCTGCAGAAATGGAAATTAGCAGATTGGCAGATGCAGGAGCATCTAGCTACCAGTCCAATCAAAATACCAGTCTGCTTGCTGGCACCACTTTGTACATTTCGGATTGTAAATGTCTAGATTTGTTTACCCTCTTTCTTTCTGCAGTATTTTAAGAAAACAAAATGCTTAAGGGGCACTCACAGTAGACTAATCAAGCGGATTTCTTTTCTTTTGTAGTAGTATTTTTATATGTTGGTCTACCTAGTTTCTGCTTCAGGAGTTTAGGACAATGGAAGAAGCTGTGTGAAGATGAGCAGTGGTGGGTGCTGCTGTTTCAACTCTCCATCTCCCAAATAACAAAGAAAAACCCCACCCATAAAAAAGGTAGCAGAGAAGCCATTAGGGAGCTGCATCCTTCTGAAGCATATAGAAGAGATGGGAAGAAATAGCAATCCATTGAGTATGAACACAGGAGACAAAGTCTAGTTTCTATGTAAGAGGAGGGACTGCTGGAAAGGAGAGTTACCTTTATACCCCAATTTATTCCTTTTGAAGAAAAAAGTGAGCAACACGGTTTGGGTGTGTCTGTCATGGTGTTGCTGGTGGTGTATTATTATTCTTCATCAAACCTTTGCAGCTGCAAGAGCATCTTCTGTTTTTTTTCTGGTTTAGTAGCTTTCCCCATTCCAGCTGAGTAACAGGGTTGGGGAATGGCAGGGGATGTGCATGAAAGAAAAAATGGTCGTTCCCTGGCTGTGGTTAAGAGTCTCATTTTTGTCTGCCACCTAATTTGCTTCATAAAATATTTGTGCATCCTTTTATTTGGTTGCCAGCCTAAGTTTCTTCTGTGTCAAAGTCTGGCTGCCTCTGGTGTAGGGGCCCCTAAACGGGCTACAGGAATGTTTTAAAAAATCATAACTAACTTGCACTGGTCTTCACTTTCAGAAACTAGGGACCTAAATGCACCATTGTTTAACTGTAGCAGTTGTGGTAAAACAGTCTAGCAAAGTTCCCATGTCCTTATGCATTCTTTCTCAGAAATACAATTAAATGTAATATTCTAGTGTTCATGAAAAGTATCCTTACCTTGCCTGATTTGAGGATACTGTATTTCTAAAACAGTGCTTTAATCATAAAATGACATTCTCCATAAAAATCCATCCTGAACTGATAGTTCCCTCGTGATCTCTTGTATTTACATTTACTATAATTAATACTTCAGCCAGCTTATTCCTGAGTTCATTATTATCCTTTCTGTCACAATCTCTGGTATTACTAGATCCTCACAGATATCTCTGTGTATTTTTGAGTTTTCTTTGTTAATCTTCTCTTCCTAAACTTCATAGGGCAGGCCTGAATAACAGTCCTTCAGAAATAATCTCTTCAAACCCCTAAATTATGTCGATTGCCATCTGCTGTAATGCACTTTTGGTCTCAGCTGTGTCCTTCCTTTACAGTAATATGATTAGTACAAGTGCATACAAGTTTCCAAATGTTGGTCTATCATTACCCCCACCAGGTGCCAGGAAAACGTTACACCCCTCTTCCCGATGCCTTTCGCAGGACTTCAGCATTGCTGCATTTAAGCCGTGGTGTCTTCTCTGCCGTGTCTCTCGATTCAGGTCCTTCATGCAAGGATTTCAAAGCAGCTTTCTGCCTTAGTTAGTTATGTTTCTGTGCTTACCTGTCATCACCTCTGTGAGATGACCACAGTTGTTGTTAACACTAATAGTTTTATGTGAAGTAATTTATTATAATTCCCTATATTGTTTCTCCATGACAGGCTTTACAGCAGCCTTAATATAACTGGTTTAAAGTTTAGCATTGTAGCTCGGACTTGGGACACAGGAAAAACAAAATTTCCTTGAAGAAAACTTATCTGCAATCCATGTGATTTTGTTTTAAAACTGACAATACTATAGCCTTTATTTTAGCAATCTAGCCTGAGGCCTACCATTGTTGTATTTTTAAGTATTCTTCTGTTTTTCTTTGTCCAACTTTACCTTTTCCTTTCTTTTTAGTATTCTACCTTTCCAGAATTTTTGATTATTTGTTACTGCTCCATATAGCTGGATGTGGTTTGGGGTGATTGCGTCATGAAACATTTTTTGCCATCTAGTTACTTTTTCAGTAAGCGTGAAAACGCTTTTTGTTTGTGCACTTAGTCATTAAAGTACATCCTGCATAACCACTTTCTTTCCTACTTCCAACAGTCAAGGAGCAGGATGCGAGTGACAGTTGCTTCAGAATAGTTACAGATTTTAAGTATTTTCATTTTCCTGGATTATATGCAGATAACTGGATTCTCCCAGAAGCTTTTTTCCCTTATTCTAAACCAGTTCCACTTTATTCTATTTTGGTTTTAGCATATTTGCTTTGCCAGAGTATCAAATGATTTCATAATTTTAAAGTTTATTTGAGACAGCTACTAAAGACAGTGAAATGCCAATTATGTTGCATCACAAAAGATGCTAGTAAGAGATACTGGAGCTTGCTTAGAGCTCAGGAAAATTAGGATACTGATTTTCATGTGGGTTGTGAGATATTTTAATAATCTTGTCATTAAAATGCTAATAATTTTTCAAATGTTCATGAAATACTGAACCCTTGTGTATATGCTTCTTCTGACATACTGTTCTTTCTTTTGTCTTACTCCAGTTTAGAACTGGAAAATTTACAAACTTCTTTAACATATTGTAGCTCTTGTACTCTTCTTTTACCCAACTTTCATCTTGAGAAAAATGATAACTGATGATCCAGTTACAGTTACCACCCAGCACAGATTTAAAAAATGGTAGCATGTTATATAAAGTATCTTTTTTTTATCTGTGGAGATTTGATCTTTGGTACTTATTTTTTCGGTACCTGAATCAAATTAATCAGTAGATAACTCTTTGTAACAGTTTTAGTTTCAACTGACTTGGTTTTTTTTATGGGAGAAGAAGTGTCTGCTTGGTGTTTTTGATCACACCTCTTGTCTAAGTGTTCCTAGCAAGTTTTAGATTCATCGGTGACGGACTGACAATCAGTGGAGCATAGCCTTGGAGTAAAGTTACTATTGGGATGCTGTGCCCCCTGGGACCAGAATGGTCTTCTGGGCTGCTGGGTTTAGCAGTAAGAGTCTGTGTGAAGAGGGAGAGGGTAGATCTTTGCTTCAGTCTTTACCTCTCGTTCTGTCTCCTTTCATTCTGCATCAACTCAACTTGTTTTCATGACGTGGAGGAGGAAATGAACTTGATCCTTTAGGTAGCTGGGAACTTACATAATTTTATTTGGATAATGTTAAATAATGTTGAAAGGGATTACTTATTTAAATATAAGTGGTGATATCATCATATCTGTGTAGCATATTGAAGAACGTGGTTCAGAATTTTGGTTGCAGAACAAATATAACAAGTCTTTAGAAACATTCTTACTCTAGCAGCACCCACAATTCAGAGTGGTGGGAAAGCAGACAAGGGAGGTGCTGTCTTACCTAAAACCATTTCTAGAAGACTGAGCAACTGAGATTCTGTGTGCTATATTGTTCACTTTTGCTGTATTTCTTAATTTTCAGCTTTCCTGAAATGCAGTATTTCCAGCAAGAGAATGTGAGGAAAATTCTTACAGATGTTCTGTTCTGCTATGCCAGAGAAAATGAGCAGTTGCTTTATAAACAGGTAATGAAAATACTGTACAGGTGGCATTCATTGACTCAACGTCTTCTATACGGTTTGACAATAATGTAGTTCTGTTGTATTGAAGTTGTATCATAATGCTAAAGTAATCAAAGAGCTGCTTGTCAGCTGGATAGTAAGAAAAGTAAGCTCATTGAATAACATATGCTTTTCCCTCATAAGACGGTCCCTCAAATTGTTTTCTTTAAGGTTGCTAAGTTGTCTAACTTCAAATTTCTTAATAAACAACATCTTTTTCTTCAGTGTTGGTTAAGAAAGAAAAAGAAAAAGAAAGGTTTTCTGGGCTTAGGTAAAGAAAGAAAGTACGCAGCAGGATTAAAAATGGTACTGAATAAACAAAAAAAATTTGCAATTTCTGAAATTTAGGCAAAGTTACTGTTTTGAGTTATATGTAATATTTTCAGTTCTTCCTCAGAGTGGTAAAGCCATGCAGTACGTTAGCAAATAGATCCTTTATCTAACCTTGTAGCATCCGAATACAATGCAGCTAACAAATGCCTCTTGACTGAAGGATAAGGGTGCTACAAATACCACTTTCACAGTGTTACCTGAAGGACAGCCTGCTCAAACCATTTTTGATAAAATGGTAAAGAAAGCCTTAAAGCTGCACTAACTATGCGTCCATATGGGATACAGGCTAAATTAATTTAACATTTGTTCTGAAGGTTTTGAAGCGAGCATAAGCTCGGTACTAAATTAATGTAGCAAGACCAATACGCAGAGTTACCAACATAAGTATATTTGTATTTGTTTCTCCAGGCTATTAACTTTAGGGTGAGTAAGGACTGACAGACTGAGGGATGCCATGTGCGTGGACAAGGGGTAAACGGTTGAGGAGTAAAGTTCACACAGACAAAAAAAAAAAAATCACGACAAAAATACAGAGTTTCAGTAAATGTGAAGATTTTTAAAAGATGCTGTATGCTTTCACGCATGGTCTGTGACCACCCTGTCCTCAAGCCAGGAAATTAGTGGCATTTCATGAAAAGACCAACACATATGAGTTGAAGGAACAGTTGCTTCTGAAGAACTGTCATACAGATTATATTAAAAAATCAAATATATAGTTATCAAACATATCAAATCTCCATCAGCTTGTTATTTCTCATGCTTGACAGACTGTGAGCAAGGAAGTCTTGCATGATAAAAAGAAAAAATGAGATTTGTGAGCTGTATTTTGAAGGGCACTGCTAAAGAAAACACTTCAGCAGTATTCAGCCTCCCATTTCTAGTGAATATAGGCCAGAGTACTGATGACGGGAAAATGGAAGAACACATTCCAGCTAATTTAGTCTATCATTTATTGAACAAGAAGTATTATTTTACTCTTTGATATGACTTAAAAGGACTTAATTACCCTCTGCTCATATTTAAAATCCTCTTGATTCCTTACTAAGAAATAATACCTTTCTACATAAGGATGGAATATTTAGCCAGATCAAATTTAAAAAAAAAAGCCCTGAGTTTCATCACAAGCTGTTAAAGCTATTATTTTCTACTAGGTGACACCCCGTTTAACATAGACCATATTGTTAATAGTTATGGGATTTTATTGAATTAATGAGACTGTTATCATGTAGTAGAATGTCTTGCTGAGTTAATTGAAACTGCAGAGATTATATAAATGGTATTAATGAACTTTGACTGCCTGATGCCTCAGCTTTAATAAAGACTGCTTGGTGGGCTAAATGAACATAGGCAGATAAAAGAACAGGTTCAATTTTGCGAGCCTACAGGCTGTTGACAAAGAAAACTTCTTTACCTCTGTTTTCAACTGGTGTTGCATCAGTAGTGCAGTAATTTCAGGATGGGGTTGCCACAGGACTAAAGGGAGAGGTGAAGTGCAGAAAATTAAAAAAAAACTGGATCACAAAAAAACGTTGATTTTACCTCTCTGAAGTGCGTTTAGTTTATCACCCAAGTCTTGTGGTGCCAACTCCACAAAACAGCAAATGATTGTGGGTTTCCTTTCTTTGGTGGACGTGTGTCAATTTTATTAGGAGCTTTTCTTTTTTCTTACCTCATTTTGAAAGTGTCGTTTTGTTTGGGTTTTTTACATTAATGTTCCTGTTAGCTTAATACTAACAATCCTGCTTTTTTGTCTCCGTTCCCTCTCTTTTGAGATAACGTTTCTTTCATGTCCATCAGTACCCTTCTCTGAATTAGCTAACAGGAAGAAGAGTTTGTAGTGGCAACAGGATATGTTTTTTCCCATCTTTTAGCAAATACCTATTTTGCAGTCAACCTTCCTGTCCTACTATTTTTATTGGTTCTGTTTTTCCATTGACTCAAACCCCACTTCTCATAATAATTTCCACTAGACCAAATCCTAGCATATTTTCTTGAATATAAAGAAGGTTACCGTTAATTCATCAATATCAGATCACCTCCAAGCTGCTTTCTCCCCAGTGACCTGAACACAAAGCCCAAATTGAGGTGTTTGTCTTCATATTCAGTATCCATCGTGGGACTGGTCCTGTTGTTCTCTATTAGAATTCCTCTGTCTCATTTGTATGTCTGACCACATGCAAAGGCTACATTTGCCATAATGATTTTAACACTTGGCCAATAAATGAAAACTTATACTTCTGTCTGTCAACATCTGTACAGAACCTGATGTTTCTCTTTCAAAATATTTGGAAAAAGTTCTAGTTCTTTGACAATTTGCATCCTTGTAAATAAAGTGTATTTGAAGTTTACAACATCTGATTGAAACTATTACATAGCTTCAGCATATAGTCTTACAAGATGCAATCAATAATGTTTATTTAATATGCATATATGCGTGAAAGTTGTCTTTGTAGTAGTGTTTGTGGTTTTTTGACCAGCGTGAAGTAACATTTTATTTGATGAGGAAAAAGATTTTCTGTCCCTAGTCAAATGGAGTAGAATGCTGTGAAGCTGTATTACAGATTTTAAAGACAGAATCCTCACCGGGATCATTGAATTTTTAAATAGCAGCTGTAAATATAAAATCTAAAGAGAATAGCATATTGTACTTAAGAATATGTAAAAATTACTCCTAGCATTCTTCTGTAAGATTGGTGCCAAAATTCTGGTCCTAGTTACACTGAAAAGAAATAGTGACAATTAAGCTAAATCACTGGGCTAACTATTGTTCACTCATGATTTGATTGCCCTTAGAGGAGTCAATACGATTTTGAAATGCATTGATTCACTTTTCATTGTAGAAATGCTATATTTCTGGTTTTCTTTCTAAACCATAGCCTGTATTATTAAATCAATATTTTGTTGTAGCTGGGAAGTGTCATAAAATTATCTGAGCACTGTCAACTTATTTATTAACACTAAAGAGTTTTAGTAAACTGCAGCATTGAAAAAATACGTGTATGCATATTACACTGGTGGCTTTTCTTGCCAAGCTAAAAATCTCTAAACATTTGAAGTACTCCTGTAACTGAAAGATCAGAGGTATCTTTTTGAAATCCTGATATTTCATCATCTGTTTGTTTTGTTTTTGTTGTATGTGGGCAGCCACATTATAATTCTACTTTATTATAAATTTGATATATTATTATGTTGGAAGAATGCATGATGTGCTTTTATCTTTTATAACTAATTCTTATTTTATATCCTCTTTTTTTTTCTTCAGCTTATATGTTTACAGCTTAGGTGATAGTTCTATTAGATAGTCGAGTTTTTGGCATTTCCATTTCTCTTATTTCATGTTAGTATATCAGGGCGAATAAAAGATTAGACATGCAGCTGTAATTAACTGAGGGCTGTGAGTATGTATGAAAGTACTACCAAGTACTACCCAGGTTATCTACAGTTTATTTAAATATTTTTGCCACTTATATTTATTGTCTAATCCTGGACATATCTCCCCATCTCTCCTATTCCTTTCCCTGGTATGACCGTAAGACTTTCAGAAATCTAAAGCTGTCAATTTGAAATCTAAGCCATGTTGTTGTGTTTGGGAATTTTATACCAGGTCCTGAAATCAAGGGGCTACATTGGGTTTAATCTTTTTTTTTCCTAACTGAGTTTCTGTTTAGCCTCCATCTTTCTAAGTAGTCCTTAAAGGTTCACAAATAGGAAAAGAAAGAAAAACACCAAACTTCAGTAGTTTTGTTGTCTTTAGCTTTGCCCAGTTCACTGACTGCTATTGCTTCAACCCTACAGTTGCTATAACAGTCATCTCAGTCTCAGAAATAAACTTTCCTAGGATTTCAGTGGATAGCACACAGAGAAATTCCCAAACCTCTTTTTTTTTCTTCAACACTGCTAGTTGTTGGAATTTCCTCTTATGAACAGACAAAATTCACTAACATGCATCCAAGCACACACAAAATAGATCATTTAGAGAAGGCTTCCACGTCTACCTCTCTGCTCAGCTTGGACCACTTAAGGAAAATCCCCATTATTTCCAATAAAAGTGAAAGAGTTTTAGTAGTTAATGGATCTGCTTGATACATATGAAGCTGATAAGCTAACTCACTGGTATTGAATACTCTTTAAATGCTACATGGAGTATCAAGTGATATACCAGCAAAGCAGCACGGTAGCTGCACAAGCACGGGAGTCTTGGAAAATCAAGTGGAGAGGCTTCCTAGCTTGGAAGTGCAAGCGTAAGAGTAGAACAGCTCCTGTCTGGGGACCCATCACCTGGCTCCTGACAGCAGCCTCAAATGCCTTTGAGCTTGATGGGCCATCCCTAGTGCTCTTTCTGCCAACGGGATAGACAAGATGGTCTTCCCGGCACCCCTGTCTGCCCAGAGCGTGCACCTGGAGTTGGGACTGAGGATGCATTTGGTGAAGCAATTGCACCTTTGAACTGGAGCGCCACTGGCAGCACACTCTTCCTCCTGCACCAGGGCAAAGACTCCACCAGAGCAAGACCCAGCAGGGGTAGCCTGAGTGCCTGGCAGCAAGCCCTGGCTGTAGTTGGTGGTTTTGGGCTGAGGTCAGGAGTTCCTTCCCATCAGAGTGACCCCTGTGTCCAGAGGCAGCCAGACAGGTGTCAACCTTTCATCCCACATCTCTTCCGTCACTGAAGAGCTCCCCTTGCTTCTTCTGTGTGTCTGACCCCACCAAAAACTGTAGCTTTAGTTCCTATCTGCCGTCCTAGTCCAGCACTGGGAGCCCAACTCCCCTGACATAACCAAATTCCCCAGTGATGACACCCCAAATCCTCCTTTCCTCTGATCTAATCTGAGGGAAGGGGCTGAATATCTGCTGAAGTTTCATTCTTCAGGCTATAGTTTTACCTGCCAGTGTGTTGCTGCTTGCCAGCTGGATTGCTTGTTTCCTGAAGCGGTTGCTTCTGCTCCTGATAACAAATTGACATCCCCCAGGTGATTCAAGCCAAGCACCGCTGGCCACCCTGGGTGGCCCAGCCACGCTTCTAGTGCTGGCCCAAGTCCTCAACTACCCACCATTTTTTTCTCTTCCAATCCTGCATGCTTCTGTATTTTTTTTCTATATCTTAATATAGATTGCACGTATAAGTAATAGTTTTTAATGGAACAGTACCTATGCATTGTGTTATAATGAGTTTATTTTTAATAATGAAATAACGACTTTAAAAAAAAGGGTAAAAACCCATTTTATTTCTCATGTCTGTAGGAATATAAGTTTCATTTTCTGATTTCCCAAATAGCTGCCCTTGTCTCCTCTAAAGGCTACTGCTATGCTGGTTTTGGAACATTATCAAATAAGAAATAATGTTAAATTTTGTAATTTGTCCCTATTGCAGATCTTTGTACTGTGGATCATGATTGTAATTATAAATAAAATTCATATTTATGAACATAGATCTTGGAGTAAACTGCCAGGTGCAGGGTTGACTACCATTGCCAATTTGTTGTCTGCTGTGTTAGAAAAGGGGAGAATAGCTTGCTTCCTTGTATTACAGAAGAATAAACACTTGGATTTAATCAGAATTTAAGATAAAAGCCATTGATGAAACTGTTCTGTTAAGAATATAAAAGTTCCTGCTTTTAGTTATTCTGCACCTATTCTTGCTGGTTGCCTGATGCTATGTTTTATGAACTATTACATGACTGGAAAGTCTTACTCTACTTCTGCTTCCTTTTATGTTTAGGGTATGCATGAACTTTTAGCTCCCATTGTCTTTATCCTGCATTGTGACCACCAAGCTTTTTCACATGCCAGTGAAGCTGCACAACCAAGGCAAGCATTGTGTTTTATTCGTATAGCATTAAAAATCTGCCTTCTTAAAAAAAAGAAATTAAGTTGGCTGGGCTATAACTTATGTGTTCCTTAATTCTTTGTTTATAATTGATAAATTGGTATCAGAAACGGTTGTATCCTCCTGCTCTTACGGCAACGTCCTTATTTCATCTTCCTTACCACACCTTCTGAAATGGGGATTAAAAATGTAGACTTTGTCCTCTTCACAGATATTAGCTGGCCAAAAAAAAGGAAGGCAAGAAACCTAAAGGGAAACCTTAAGCAAAAAGCTTACATACCTACTGTTTCTCCTCATTCTTATTGCCAGAAATGGTTTCGGTTTTGTCATTGCAGAGAGGAGGCAAATTAGAGAACTGCAGTCATAGAACAGACATGTTACCAACTGTCTTTCCTCATATCTTAAAAGAGAAAAAAAAAGCAATGTAGAGAAATTGTTGTGATTGATATTTCTTTCATCACCTGCAATGTTGTAGCTGCAATATCTGACTGTCCTTTGACTTGATAGTAACATTAAGTTTAGCTATTGATTCTTCATTTCACTCAACCTGTGTGGGTGTGTGCATGTAATCATACACGTATGTATGAAATATTACGTCACACACAATTGTCTGTCAGCCAAATTCAGATGCTTTTTTTCTTCCCCTATATGTAAAGCTTTTTTTGCTGGCTTTTTTTTTTTTTTTTTTAAAGAAACTAGTTGCCGCCTTGTATCACTTATGATATTAAGGTAATTTCTTTTCATTTGTCTTTATGCACTCTCTTTTGGAGTCCAGCAGTGAATAAAAGCCAAGTTAATTATGTGTACTATATAATATAACCTCTGTTAGCACCCCTCAACGTGATTGTCCAAAGGCAGTTAAGCATAAGGATGGAGATTATTTACAAGTGTGTGTTTTTATTCAATGTCTGTCCTTTGATATCCTGAAATTACCTAGAAGATGCTCTGCAATGCTAAGTAACTTAAAATAACGATGTGTTATGCACAGCATTCTGTTCCATCCCCACTGAAAAAGTAGAGCTAAGCAGCAAAATAGATGGAAAAGAGGTGCTGTCACTGATTAATTGCTGTTAAAGTACAATAAAAATACAGGCTATTAAAACAAAACAAATTAATGTTTTGATACTGCATATTTGACCAGTAACCATATTTTTTTTTTTGTTTGGGACAAACAGTGATAGATTGTGCAGCAATCAATTATTCTAGATCAAGCATATTCAAATAATACATTGTGACATTCAGTAATTTGTTATTTGGAATAATTAGATGGTTACTTCATTGTAGTGCAGACAAGGCAGCTAATTTGTTTTTGATCTTTATAAAAAGGAAAGACTTCATTTGTTCAATGGAGTTGCTCTTTTTAATTAAAAAGGCTAGTTTTCTCATTTGCACTTTATATGAAAGTTGGCTTATAAATACATAATAGTACATGCAGAACGCTGACCAAAAATAAACATTCACATTTGGATTGTTCACTGTTGCCTTTTTCAGCGAGGAAATGAAAGTTCTTTTGAATCCTGAATATCTGGAACATGATGCCTAGTAAGTTTTAACAACTTCCTTTACATTTAATTCGCTCTTATTTGTAATACATTATTTAACACCAAGTTTCTGGGTTTTTCCCCTTCAGTGCAATGTTCACACGTCTTATGAAAACTGCAGAACATTGGTTTTCAACTTTTGAACATGACAGTCAGAAGGTAAATATCGCTCTAAAATGTTTTACAAACACGGATTCTCCTATGTATGAGTGATGCTGTTGTGTAGCATTCAAAAGAAGGCCTGTCATAGGCATATCTATGTGCCCAAAACCTGTGCAAATGTCATGTTAAAGAAATGCCTATGGGCAGTGTTTAACATATTGAGACTTGAATTGGTTTAAATTGTTTACAATATAAACTATTTGCTGTGAAAGCAAAACTTTGATCCTAGACTGTCCATCACAGGTCAGGGTGCATCTTTCTCTGACTTCATCATTACATTTCCTTCCTTTTTTTCCCTCTTGACCTCAGGGTATTCAAACTGAGGGAATGTCTGTGTCCTCAGATCTTCTGTGTAGCTGTAGAGATGTCACGTCATTTAGTATGTTGCTTCTTTTCATGGAAAAACTTTTCCTGCATTCTGAGTTTAGTTCTACAGAACGCTTCTTTGCAGGGACCATCTAGGCCTTGCCTGTAACCGTTTTTTATGCATGGTGTGAAGGACAATTCCCTCTGTCCATTTTGCCTGTCAATTGCTCAAGATTTCCTTTGAATACTTTTTTCCTGTCTCTTTGTCTGTTTGCTTTTCTCTTTTTTTTTTAATTCTGAGAAATTATTTCTGTGATGGGGTGTATGTAGAAGGCTCTAGCAAAACATAGCCATATTACCAGCATTGCCAAGACTTGCAGTGTATTATATCCTAAAAGAGTTGTCCTCCAAACTTAGCTCCAGCTTGATTCATTTCAGCATTTTTCACATAGACCGTGGGGTGAGTATCTAGAGTTAACAAAAGATTAATAAGAATTTGGTTGAGTTTGGATGTCCACACGTGTGTACCAAAACCTATATTTGCGAACTGTAGTTAGGGAGTGCGAGTCTGAGAGGAGGTTTTACCTGTCTGTTGAAGAAAAAGACGCTCACCCAAGACTCACATACAAGCTTCTATTTTCTTTAAATGTTTAAGTGTTATCTGTGTATATATTTTATTAGACATGGAGCATTAGTATCTTGGCCTAAGCTATCTACAGTTATAAATTACTATTTGGATTTGGGTCTTTACATAATTCTCAGTAACTAAGGATAAAGCATATGAGATACAAATTTTATGAACTTATTACATAGTCACTTTTATTCCAACAACAAAGCTGTGAGACACGTTTCTCTGAGTGTAGCTTTTCAAAATTCAGTGTATTCAAATGTATTTGTTCCAATTTCTGTGACAGAGGTGGTAAAGTCTGAGGTTGAATTTTATTCCAGGAAATAACTAGGTCTCCTTACAGCTTTACAGTGTTTGGGTAGGAGGTGAAAGTTTACATTGCCCTTTCCAGTCCTTTTGTGGCATAAAAAATTAACAATGCAAAGCGCATGGATTAATATCTAGTTGTTTGTTCTTGTTCTTTGCAAACATGTATAATCTTTAATAATCCTTTCTTGTACGTATGCCTTTTACAATCATGACTTTGAGGGTTGGCTACATAATAAAGTCTGAGTCTTCACAAAGGAAGCAATGAAATGTGCTCAGAGAGACATGTTACATTTTATAGCCTCTAACAGTTGGTTCCATTACTCCCAATTGCCATTAGAGAAGCTTCTCCAGCTACTCCATTCCCTAGTGGTTAATGAGAGAAATCTGTCCATGGTTTATACTTGTAGTAGGTCCTAGCCTTTCTTTACTGCTGCAGCATTTGTTTCCTAAACGCATGAGTATATAAATTGTATTAGTCTCAACTGCCAGCCATGTCAGTTTGTGTTGTGATAGGTAACGTTTTGTGGCAGGATTTGGTGACTCTGTTCCTAATACTTGATCTGAATTTTTCAGCTGCATTTCACTGATATCCTTATTTAAACTGTTCTTAGAGGTGAACCTGATGGTCTCCTGTAAACGGTATAAGCGCATCTCTGAGCCATCCCTCTTGTCTTTTTATTGTGAATGGCATCCCTTTAGAAATCATCATTTATATTTTGTGTTAGCACTAGATGACTAAACCCATGCTCTCAAGCGTTTTCCAGGACTCAGAAGCTCACAAAATGAAAACGGGTGTTTTGTCTTGTATCGCAACTTAATATATAGTGAATATGGGCAGGGGCACAGTATCATGTTGTCCACTTGGCTTCTGTGCTTTAGGCACAGGCACTGTGAGTCATTTCTAGTTAATCATTTTGGCGGCTTGGTTATATTAGTTTATTTGAGCATCCTTCTGTTTGGGCTGTTTTTTTCACACCAGCTGATGTGATTTTTTGGAGCAATTTCAACTGACTAAATGTAGTGTCATTTTCTCAACTGAATTGCATGAGAGGAGACAACAGATATGTCATATGCACTCTGGTCATCCACTGAGCTTCTTGGTGGAGTGCACTAAATCGGGAGGCATGGACAGTCAAGGCATTGATAATTAATTGCAACTGCTGTCCCCACCGATTCTGTCACACTTTGAAGATTTCTGTTAATGGGGTTAATTTCTGAGATGCTGAGGAACTGCATTTTGATGGATACTATTTACCTGTGCTTTTAAAAATGGCAAGCCAGCACATATTATTTGATGCACTTAGCCATGTTGATACTCAGTCAGTCTGACAGTCAGTGCTGCATTATGCCAAGGTGCATAAATGCTGCGAGTGACAAATAACTCTAGTTTTGCACTCCTCTGTAGGAGGAAGCTTGCATTAGTTTTGATATTCAGAATCTTTTGACACTTGAGCCAGTGTTTAAGACTCTGTCTTCTAATTTTGTAAAGATGGCTTTAAACCCCCAGATGACTAATGATGTAAAGGCTAATCTGGGTAACTAGCTCGTCTTCTCATATTACAAGTTCAACTAAGTGGAAACATTCTAAGGTTGAGATTTCTATACAAGAATCTATGCCTATAATTGAGAAAAGCTCAAAAATACATACCTTTTGAGTCATCAGAGTTATGAGTGCATACAGTGGTCAAGCTGAAGTTAAGCTCAACTTGAATAAACCAGAATAAAGTTCACACTCCTGATGTGTGCCAGCTGCTGCAACATGCACAGTCTATGAGTACGTACAGTTACATACTTTTATGATTAGTTTCAAAGACAAATTGCTATAGTTATGCAAAAAATCACTATAGACTGGCATTTAGCATTAAGGTAATGCTATCATATCACATTTTAAGAGTGGTTTTCTGTATAGATTGCAAGGAGATTAGTAGATACACATTTTTCCAGTACTTTGTGTTCTAGCATATGACCGAGAAAATAATGAAATGGGTCTGAAACAACACTAGGAAATAGCCGTACAATGGAGAAAGAAAAATCAGGGTAAAAAGAAGGCTGCCTGATTTGGTAATAAAGAAGTTAATAGAATAATTAAAAAAGGAGGTAGGAGAAATATCCTTTCCAAACATACTTGCAGCCGTGAAGAACCTTAGTTCTCCTTTCTTTGTTATTGAATATTAAAAATAATGTGCTTTTCACTGTATTGAATCCAGTGAATTTGTCTTTCGACAGTTAAGCTATAATGAAGTCTTCTGAAAGTATTAACCCTTTGACCCTGATAATGCTTCTCTATCAATATACTGAGCAAAAGGGTAGAAAAACAGTAACTGTTTTTTAAAGTGAAGCTTTCAGGTCAGAGAGCCATGATGACAAATTGCAACAAAGTAATTCCAAAATCTTCTCTTCTTACTGTTCCAGTTTTCCCTCTTTTATATCTTTAACATTGTTCCTGAAAACTTAATTCTCCATTTCCCTTTCCCCAAGCTTTCTCTTGATAGGTTTGACTTGTTCCTTTTTATTTCTCATCCTCCTTTTTACATGTTTCCTATTCAGTGGCGTTCATTACTTGCTGCACTTCTTTCTGCCATTCTGTCTCTTTTTCAATAATATTTCACTCTTTTGCAAGAAGAACCAATTTAAATCGGTATCAGGTTCAAGGATGCTAATACTCCAGTAGTTGCATTCCTCTGTTTGTGTCATGTTCTAGATCATGGCATAGTTTGTACAACCTCTAAGTCCAACCAACTACCATCCAACCGTCAGGTTCATCTATCTGTTCGATTTCTTTTTTGTTTTAAAAGTTTTCTGATGCTTTATCAAAGTTAGGTTGATTTTGAGGTACAGCGACCCAATTTTCTGAGCAAGGGAAGCCTGTTTAGAAGGGATTGTTTGATAATAAGTTATTTTATATTTGGTATGCATTTTATTGTCCTCTGAGGGCATATATTCTCTAATAAGTTACCATTCATCTGCTTTGCTCTGGACTGACTCAGACTGTTGATATTAAAGCTAAAATAAAACTGTCAACTCTGTCAGACCATGAAAAGCAAAGCGCGCACATAAGAATTGACATGCAGAACGAGGAGAGGAACCTTGGCACACCTGGGAAGGGGAATCCCACAATACCTTCCACAGAAGTGGATACTTGAGGTTCCTCTATTGCTGGAAAAGAAAGGAGTTGTTAGTGTTATTATGCTTACTTGGAAGCCAATGATTACAACAAAACAAATCTTTTGTAGACAGTCCCTTTAGACGATAAGGCTTCATGAGATGTTCTTTTTTTCCCCATTTTCTGTGTCTGCAGGAGAAAGATGTGATGATTACACCTATGCCATTTGCAAGGCCACAGGACTTAGGCCCATCTATTGCTATTGTAGCGAAAGTAAACCAAATTCAGGATCATCTGCTGAAGAAACATGATATTGAGCTGTACATGCATCTGAACCGACTGGAAATTGCTCCACAGATTTATGGACTGTAAGTGTTTGCAAAGCATTATTTAATTTAATTCCTTCTATTTTCATTTCATTATATTAGGACATTTTTTTCCTTAAATTTTGGACTAGAGGAATGGGGCTAAAAAGAAGTACTTCTTATCTCTTAGAACTTTTTCAGTTGGCAGCATTACAGTAAATGATACTCCCCTTGTATTTGTGACAGTGGCATTCCCAGTGCAGATAAAGTCCGTTCAGCTACGTATTAGTGAACTTGATGAAGACTCCCAGTTCAGTGATGAAGTATGTACTGAATTGAGTACACGTTCTACCTGTGGCTTTCCTATAAGAAGAAATGGAATAGCAGGACACAAAGAAGGGGGGAAGGGGAATATAATTATCATTGAATGGTTTATTTACTTAATTTTATCACCAGTTCAGTATTGGTGAACTTTTCCCTATTGCAAAAATGGGGTTTTGGATACTGGTAATACAGGTGTGGTGGGGCATGTTAAAAGTAAAGGCATGGTTAAAAGTTAAAAGCATAAAAAATAAAGTATATGTATACGGAGGCAGTCCGGATAGTCCGTTTTCCATTAAGCTGGCTCAGATCCATTCAGCTGGTTGTGTATTGTGTGCCCCATTCCAGGGGGCCTTATTGGGCCAGGTGTGACTTTGGATGTGGCCTTGTCCACGTGTTTGCACACCATTCATCAGAAACAGTTATGGCTGTTATAGTCAGTCTGGGTCTATACAGAGCGTGCAACTTGGATGAACCGTGAATAACTGTGAACTGAGTGTGGTTTTGAGGAAGATTTTTGCCTTCATTGTCTGGAATTCTAGACATTTGAATCATTTTGATCATTCCTTTAAGAGTTGACAAGCCATATGTGCAGTTGCAGTGACAGAAAAATGACACTTTTAATTTTAATTTTTTTTTTTTTACTTTTTGCAATTATTTCAAATAAGGTTGGCTTTGCCTTAAATGAAGAAAAAAAGTTTCATTTAAGGGTGTGAATTTCCAAATGTAATTGTGAATTGCATTTAACAACTCAATAGAAAATGTAGAAAGGGAGGGAAAAGGTGACTGTATAAATGTCAGGCCATAACTGCAATACTTAACATTAAAGTCTAATTTGATGTTATAGTAAAATGGAAAAATGGTGCGACATAGTATACCCTCAAGAGAAGTAGTAGTCCCAGACTTACAAATAACATATATTAGGAAGTAATATGTAATTCTACAAAACTTATTTAAATAGTTTTGATAGGAATGGGTTACAGGGACAGGAAGAATAAACCAAATAAACGTAAGGTATTAAAAGTGTGAAGAGGACAGATTGTCCTATTAGTGTATTTTTTGCATAGTGTAGAGTTGTGTATTTTCTTATATCTTCACTAGTCTGGAAGAGAAAGCAAGCATCCCTAATAAACTTCAGGGGTGGTAATTAATAAGTAGGCAGTATAAATATCAAGGAAAACAAAAAGACAGTGTTTCTTTTTTATGAAGTCTTATGAAAACACATAGAAAATAAAATAAGATAAACCTCAGAAATTTACAAACAGATATTTTAGGGCAAAAATAATTTGTACTGTAGGTATTCAGTATAAGATTTTGCCTTTCAGTAAGAGAAATAATTGAAAGAAAAAATTAGACTTTAGCTCAAAACATAACATTATAATAACAGAAGAACGGTGCAGTCTGGTGGCATAAATAGAACTGAATCTGAATAAAGAAATTTACAGTTAAAGGAATGAATTATGAGAGAGAGCTTCAGGCTGACTATCAGGAAAACCTTACTAACAGGGAGCTGTTAGACTGTAAAATAATATATCAAAATTAACAAAGGAAAACCCATCAGAATATTTTAAAGACAGGCTTTGAAAAGCTCTCAGAAATGGGTAGTATCACAGAGAATCAGTCTGCATTGGCAAAAGAGGAAAGTGGGTTGCCTGTGAGGTCATATCCTTCTCTGATTTATGATTTAATATAGAGGACAGAAGAAAAAGAAAGGGAAAAGAACATGACTGTGTTGTATTATTCTCACCTTTAATGATGTCTGAACTCTTCAGAACAATAATTTCCAGTAGTGAGTCAACTGACAGTCTCAGATGCTGGATCTTTTCCTGTATTTAACATTTTTTGAACTAGAAACAGCATTTCTTAAACATAATAGGTTATTAACAATTGCTAAACCTAACCCAAGTGCAGAATTCATGTAAGCTCTTTGTTGAAGTTTATTGTTTTGCTGAAGTTTGTTGGATTTGCCAACAATAAATATCCATCTGTCAGCCTTGATATCACTCAAAAAATATACAAATA